CTTGGCGGTATCTATTTCATCAGTGTCACTGCCAAAGACTCACAGAAAACTAAAAGTGAAGGCATACACGCTGTTATGAAAACTTATATTCTGGGCCAAATGAAGGAAAAATGTAAAACTTTCAGTTTTTTAGAACTAACTAGTTTAAGACTATCTAGCTCTTTTGTCAGTTCATACAATGAAATTACACTATATTAGCAAGAAAATTGCCAGAAATCTTCCTATCTACAAGCATTTACTTTTTTGGCAGTGGGGAGTCATCTTTTTGTTAATAAATTACAAAGTTGGAAACCTGTAAGTTCTGGGGACAGAATAATTAGTAAAACCTTTATTTCTTTAAGAAAATATGCTATAGAATTTCATCAAAGGGGTTTCTAGAGTTTTTAGTCTTGATATTGTACACAGAAAATACTTCAAAGCTGTCCTCAGGGAAGGATATTAATTTCATAGTTAATGTACATAGGGTCACATTCTCTTCAGGTGTTTTGCATTTGTCCCTTGAGCTGAGTTCAGTGGCTGGTGGCTTGAATGTACACTTGACTACATAAGGAAAGACAATCTCAGAAATTTAGGTAGTTTTGGTTTCTCTCTATCACGTACTAAAGGATAGAGGGTATACCAATAATCACCATAGCCTAGTTTATGTGCAGAGATGCTTCAAGAGTTTTCTAGAAAACCCCTCATCATCTTCAACTTCTTGGAGGCCCCTAACAAGCTCAATTTTTATTTTCCCCCATGTTGATGGTACATTAGGCTTCTTAATTCTGCTTTATGAGTCTTAATGTACTGATGGCTCAGTCTGGTTAGGTAAGATAAATACTAATCAAACTTTTATTTCAAGCATTTAATTTTAGAAATCTCTTTCCTGACATGGCTAATATATTCATTATCCAAAACTTAGGCTGACTTCTTTTCCTGGAGCCATCAATGTAGCATATACATTGCTACATTGCCCATATGGAATAGCCCATATATAATAACATATGAACATTTTGAATAGATAATTATTCTCATAAGACACAGAAAATATTATTGGCTACCTGAAAATGTTACTTTTTTATTGTTTCTTTTTATTTTTAAATTTTTGTGAGAATGAGTGTTTAACTTCATAAATCAATAGTTCTTAGCTAGGTGTGGTTTTGTCTTGTCCCCTCCCCCAAAGGGGATATTTGGCAATATGGTAGACATTTTTGATTATCACAATTAGGGGAAGGGATGCGATTAGCATCTAGTGGGCAGAAGCTAGGGATGCTGTAAAACATACAATGAAGAAGATGGCTTCCACAATAAAGAATTATATAAGCCACAATATCAATGGTGCCAAGGTTGAGAAACCCTGTTATAAATGAATATTGTAAAAATACTTTATATTGCAAAGGAACACATTGAATAGTCAAAGACTATTTTAAGTTATTAAAATCTATGAAAAATAATACATTAAGGCTCCAATATGTGCTGAGCAAAGAATTGCTTCCTAATAGAACTCATGTTTATTAAAATAAACCACTAAAAATTCATCGGTCCCTTGTGAT